GCCGAGGCACCAGCGGACACCAAGGCGACCCAACAACAAGGACGCCCCGAAACAGACCGCATCGCTGCCACGGAGGCACCGGAGGAGCGAGGCAGGAGGGAGGAAGGAGGAGCCACCCCTCCAGAGGACCCCAACCCGCGCCATGCAGACCCCCCCCCTCTGTACCCCGGGCCAGGAGAGAAGGACGCGTGAAGGGGGCATGCCCATTCGAGATAATGGAAATTTGGAACAAGCAGGAGCCCCGAAGCGCCGCCAAGGTGAAGAAGCGATCCGCAGCGACCGCCACCCCCCACCCCCAGACCCAGGATCGGTGCCCGTAAAGCCCCCCAACGACGGCACCCCCCGAACCGGCAACTCGGGTGGAAGGAACAACCGCCGCCAGGAGGCATGGAGGAGGAGAAAAGGACGGCCACAACACCCCACCCGGAGGAGGAGGGGGAGGAGGAGAAGGAGGAGGAGGACGGGTCGCCTAAGCCCTTCGGAGAAACCCTCCAGGCACGGGGGGGGGGGGCAGCAGCGTCGCCTCTGGAAGATGGCGAAGCCCTGCAGGGCGAAGCCGCCCGCCACGCACATCAGCGCCAGAGACGCGGTCCACTTCCTGCACGCGGAGGCGAGGCGACCACAGCGCAGAATACTGCTCTCGGGGGCCCTGAGTAGAGGCCTCCTAGGTGCGGTCGGAGTGGATTGGGTCGGAGGATCGCGCCGCATCGCCGATGCATCGGCGATGCATCGATTCATCGGGAATGCACCGGCGACGCATCGTCGAAGTCGGCGATGCATCGGCGACGTCGACGTGAAGCAAATCGGGCTCTTCATCGAGCCGCATCGGCGATGCATCGGCGGCGCGGCGCGAACTTCCGACCCCATCTCCTCCGAGCCCATATTGGAGGCCTAGACTTGGGCGGTGTGGTGACGGACCGTGTGGTGACCTCGAGATCCCGAAAGACCTGACCGCAAGGTCCGTCGCCGCACTGTTGCAGGACCTCGGAGGCCCTGGCCGCCCGAGGCGTCCTCGGAGATCGACCCCAACCGTGCGGCCACCCCGAGTCCCCACTGACTCACTGAGCGGTGTGGTCACCGCACTGTTTGGGGCATCCCCGACCCCGCACCACTCGAGACGAAGCCTGGACCGGGCCACACTCGGACTGGGACAGTAAACGTGGGATCTCTGAGGTCCGGCAATTCTGGAGGATGTACCGGGAGGGCGCCGCGGCCGATCCGGAGCGCTCGGGGATGCTCTGGGAGCGTTCGGGAACGCTCTTGAACGGTCTATCCCGGTCCTGGGTCCGCCCACCGCGAACGACGAACAAATCCAGTCCATGATCTCACGGCCCAAAACACCAGGGCGCGATCCTAACGGACACAAGGCGGCTCTGCACGGCACTCCTCCTGCCCCTCCTCCATCTTCCACCCCCCTTTCGGCCCTGCAGAGCCAGTCGCTCAATACGGGGAGCGACATCACCTAGTACTCCTCCTCATCCTTCCTCTTCCACCTCATCCTCCGTCTCCTCATCCTCGCTCGTTTGCGACTCCGTGCCTGCAGTAGCCTGCCCCGAGGAAAGACGTAAACACTGGAGCGAAAAGACGCGGCCAACATGTGATTGCAGCAACTTCCTCATCCTCCCTCTCCTCGGTCCTGCCGTGCCGATCGCTCCATTTGGGGAGGAATGCCACCGCGAAGAACATGCCGGCGGCGAACGACGCGGAGATGAGGCCCACCTCGGACGAGATGCAGAAAACGCCGTTACGCTACGGTGCGCGCCCAACTCTTGGGCCCACGTGCTTCCACACGAGCTCGCAGGGGAGGGAGGGGAGTGTCAGGGGGACCTCCCGTGGGACCATTATAAGGCTTTGAGGGGTTCGAGAGTCCGGTGACAGAATCTCGCTCCCTGAGCTTTCCTCCGCCACGCCGACGACTCCAGACGACGACGGGCCAGCAATGCTGGAGCAGGCTCAAGAGTAATCAGTCACATTTCATGGGAGCATGGACAAAACCGCTGCCCTCGGCGATTGGCCGAGCAGTAAAGCCAGGCGGCTGCAGGCAGGAAGCTGGGGAGGGAGAGGGGCGGGGGGGGAGCTGGGAGCAGGACGCCAGGTGAGGCGTCGCTATCGCTATCGCGCGTCAGCGCAAACCGAACCAAACATCAAGGACGCGAAAACGTAAAGAAACATTTCCCGTGCTTGCTGTCCATGCGGGCTTCGGCTGAGATGACCAGGCCGAGAGAACTGCCAGAGTGCTATGTCAACTGCACAGTGTAAGGCATTGCGCAGTCTTGCTGCTGAGCTACCAGCAACTCAGACTTGCAACTCGAAACCTGACGAAACAACTTGAGAGTGGACGAGCCGTCTGTGTGCGTAGGCATATCACGGAATGCCCTTCGAAGCAACACGTGGCAACATACCAGGAACACAACGAATGCTCGCAGCACGCGGGTTCGCTACATTCGAAACTGTCTCGACCAACGATGCTTGAATGGCATACGACAAAATCTGATGGCTTCTTCCCTGAAGGCATACAAACCGACAACGACGCGTTGTCAAGCCCGATGCCTATTTGCCGCTCTGCAATTGATCGGTATGTTCTAATGTATGGCGCATCTTGTCCGCCCCCTCGATCTTTCCCTAGCTGGGATTGCTTATGAGGGCTCCGAACCCTCCTAATGCTCACGTCGTCAACTTCCTTCCTCGGGTCGGCTGCACCCAAATGCAAGATGACAACCATAACAGATGGACAACGCTCCAACATTCTCCTATCACTGCACGGGAACATGGTCACGACACGGAACCACACATTGTCCAAGACCAGCAACGGCCGCTGTCTGGCAGGCGACCTTGTGTCTCACATGGACGGGAACTGCCGTCGTCCTCCGGGTCTTCGCCACTATCCTGACCGTGCCCCTTGCGATCCTCCAGAGCCGGGAGGCTCACTCAAAGCCTGCCCGCGAACCCCATGGCAGCCACGACGCTGCCAGCGTCGTGGACAGGAGGCAAGTCAGGAATCTCACTCCGAGCGCGCCCGCTGGCCTGCGGCGCACGTCGCCCGACCAGCGCACCTGCCAGGACGCACGCCTCGAGCGAGCCCGCGCGCTCCCGACCGGCCATCCCGTGGCCGGCGCTGCGGCAGGGCAGCTCGCTCCAGTCGTGACCGCTCGGTTGCGGTGCACGCCGCGTCGACCAGGCGGTGCTGCCAGGGGCGCGAGCTGCCTGCACGGTGCTCTCCGTGCTCGCTTCGCGTCCGTGCTCCCTCGCTCTGCCTTCGCTCCGCCTCTGCGGCCTCGGCCCACGAGACCGCCAGAGCACCGTTCGGCCCGCGCCACGGGTGCTGCCAAGAGGCTCGCCGGCAAGCTCACCCCGACTGTGCCCGCCCTCTCCCGGCAGAAGTCGGGTTGCCCATGCTGCTGCCTGGAGGCAGCCCAGGAAGCCCTCTCCGAGTCTGCCCGCTCTCGCAACGCGCGCATCGCGTCGCCAGCACTGTTGCACAGGAGAAAACCACGATCCTGAAATCAAGCGAGTCCGCTTGCTCCCGACAGCCATCTCGTTGCAAGTGTCGGAGCCAGATTGCATGTCAGGATGCCCACTCCGACCGAAGCCGCTCGTGTTCGACGCACATCGCATCTGCCAGCGTTGCTGCCGAGAAACTTGCCAGAAGGCTCACTCCAAGCGGGCACTCTCGCGTCCGGCCGCCGTCGCGCTGCCAGTGCTGTAGCCAGGAGAGTCTCACGGGCTCTCTCGCGTCCGGCAGCCAACGCGCTGTCACTCCTGCAGCCAGAAGGCAGGCCAGACGACTCACTCCGAGCGTGCCCGATGGCTTGCGGCGCACATGGCATTGCCAGCGTAGCTGCCAAAAGACTCACTCCATGCGTTATCGCTCGCTTACGGCACACATCCCGCAGCCACCGTTGTTGCCAGGAGGCTCACTCCAAGCGTGCTCGCTACCAGCCATCGCGCTGGTTGCTGCCAGGATGCAGGCCAAGAAACCCACTCACACGGTGGCCGATCACTTGGAAAGCAAACCATTTGGCCAGCGTGCTAAAATTCTCAACAACAACAAAAAACGAAATCCGCTCGTGGGCGAGGTACATTGCATGGCCAGGGTTTTTGCCAGGAAGCTCACTTTGAGCTTGACGGGCATGTCGCGCGCGTGACCAGCCTATCTGCAAGAAAACTCGCGTGCCCAATCACGGGCCAGGCACTTTGCGAACACCGAAAACAACCAACATTGACTTGTGTTCTTGCTCTTTCTGGCTCCCTAGCGCATCTGCCCACGATGCCAGCGATGAATGGGCGACTGGGGTCGATTCAGCCTTCCCTGATCCTGTACCCCCCTAACATTGCCCCTGACATGTGCTGGTGAACATCGCCCCCATTCTTGCTGTCCACCTTCCGAGCGTCCACAGAGCATGGGCAAACAAGTGGTACTGGGGAAAGAACCCAGAAACTCTTGTGGGCCATGGGCTGAAAAAAAACATCGCGCCATCGAAGGTCTCGGAGCACCCTTCGCGCTTGGCCTCGTGGAGCGAGTGCAGCCACGCTATCCCAGGCTGTCTACCACGAGTCAATTTGAACGGCGAAAGACCAGGGGACGATTCGGCGCCGCCACATCCAGCACAAGCCGACCTTCTCTGGAGATAAATGGTATCTCGCCCGGAGTAGCGGAAGTGCGGGCGTTGTCATCGTAAACCTACGGGGAGTTGCATGGCGATGGCAATCAGGGTAGACAGCGATGGAAAGAGGCTGAGGTGGCGGTGCGCGTTGGGTGGAGGAGCACGGATGGATAAAGACACATGCGGGAATTGCTCGCCAGAAAACGGCACTGAATATCGGGGGAGAATATCGGAGGCTAACTTCGAATACTTCGGCCCGAATACTTCGCCCGTGGAACGGCAAATCAGAACAGCGATGAAAGCATCGGAAGCAGGAGGACGATAGAGATAGCCAAGGCAACGAGCGGTACAGGAACATGTGACGCATAAGAAAGACCAACCAGTTATCTTCGTTAGTGAAGCGTGCATGTATGTATATTTTTATATAGAAGAACTACAGCGTTGTTGGAATGGGCGTGGGTAAATGATGACGAATAATGTTGTATACGCTGAGGTATATGTTATCTGGCCTGTGCTCTCTGCTATCTACTGCATTTGCTCTGCTCTTTCCTCTTCACACTGTCCTCTACTCTGTCAGTTGTGCTTGATGTCGAACTTCCTCACTCCACGTACACCTATATACGCTCTACCCTCCACTCTCTGCTCTCGCATATACACTATTCGCCCTCTGTTCCAGACCCTCTGCTCCCTGCTCTTTGCGCTTCGCGTTCTGCAATCTCGCTGTCTCTTTCCCTCTCTCTCTGCCCCTCTCTCCTCCCTCTACTCTCTCATCTCCCTCCTAGATATTCCTTCTCTCCATCTCGCTCTCGCTCTCTCTCTCTCTCTCTTTCTCCCTACATGTACTTTGTTGTTCACCCCTCTGTCGTATACTTGCTAGTTGCTCATCCCTCTATCGCTATGATTATCTCTCTCTCTTCTCCCTCTCCACTTCTTGTTTCTCTGTCTCTCTGTTTCTTCCCTCTCTCTCTGTCTGCCCCTGATTCTAAAAATATAACTGGCCTCTCTCTCTCTTCCTCTCTCTCCCTCTCCCTCCAGTCTGTGCTGCATGCTCTCCCTACTCTCCACTCTCCACTCTCTTTCCACTGCTCTACACTCCCCATCTCAATCCTCAACTCCATAATGCCTGACTGAGCTCTAGCCTCTGGGAACTTGGTCAAGCCAAGAAACCCAAGAACACACAGAAACTCGGAACCAAGACGCACAAACCCTGAACTCGATAACCAGGCCTCTTACCAAGGTCTGCGTCAAACTTTCGCCGAATCTGTAGTTTCAACTCTGTCCGCACTCTCCTGGCATCAGGAACCTGACCATTACCAAGAACCCAATCACCCACAAGCCCAAAAACGGGAACCTAGGAGACACCGGGAACCGACCAACTTTCACCAAATCCTTACCACGTCCACCACGGCCCCATTCAGTGAAAGTACTGATTGGCGAAACTCATGGAGGGGCAATTGCAAAATACAGGCAGCATGCACCTGAGACAGAGCAAGAAACGAACAGTCTGATTTACATCGCTGGGATGCTCAATATTCCCGTTGAAAGAATCATGGGGTGGATTGCGCGCTGAAGGGGCAGCGGCAATGCAAACTTGAATTGCAAGGGCGGGAAATCACGAACAGTGGAATGCCTCTTAGACTAGTGACGACGAGTGGACTGAATTGGAGACTGTCTGCCCAATCACCCGATGTTACTATGTCGCTGGGGCCAAGAACAAAAACCACCCACAGCAGATATCTAGAATAGTGCTGGACCGCGGTGTTGCAATCATAAGTAGAAGGAAGGTCAATACAATATCAAGCTCCGTGGCCAAGCCACGCTGTTCACACCGATTCCAATGTCGGCTGCCTTTACTTGTGGACCTAGATGGTTGCCCATCTCCCCCCCGCGACGTTTGCTCCATTCCCCGACCTCGTGCTTGTGTCTTCTTCATAATAAGAATGAAAAACGCTCTGCTGGTTGCTCGACATCTCGGTTAAGCCGCCAGTGCCCCTCGGCGGGGTGTCTATCTTGAGAACTGCTGACCTCGTCACTGCACAGCAAGATGAGGGACTCTCGGGCGTTGCTTATCTGGGGGGGGCGATAAGTCTGGGGGGGGGAGAAACGTGCACCTTTCGGGCCCCGTTCGGGGCCCCATCCAGGCTCAAATGAGTGCACAAGTCGTCTCCCCCCCCCCAATCGCGCAACGCCCGAAACTCCCCACAGAACCCGTCCCAGGAGAGGCCCCCATTACGTTAAGTATAGCGCAGCGACCGCACGCTGCCGCGCAGCTGCTCCGCGCGCCCTCCAGGAGGCGGGCCAGCGGACGTGGGCAGCAACGCGCGCGGACGGCAGGGCAAAGCGCACGGACACCTACACAGGGAAATGCAAGCAGAAGAAGAAGAAAAATAACATGTAGAAGGAAATAAGACCAATCATACTACGAATAACCATAATACTAATAATAAGAAAGGAACACACAAATGCATAAACATAGATTTTCGGAAGTAAGCGCAGTTTTCTTTGATCTGTACTGGAGCTCTTGGCGGCGCCGGTGGTGCTGTCCCTGTCGCGCCCCGCGCACCAATGGGCGGGGTCCAGTCCAGCGCCGATCCAAAAACTCCGCGCGGACCTCCGAATGTCGGTGTTTATGAGCATCGTTTATCCGATCCCGCTCACCGATGACGTGGCCTGGGCCCCACTGGCCGATTCTACCCTACAGCAAATGCGGAGATAGGCTGTTCCCCTCGGGTTTCGAACGGCCTGTCCCCCACTGGGGGGGACCCGTAGCCATTTTGGCTCAAGGGGCCTGCTCCTGAACTACCCAACCTCCGCTCGAGTCTGGCAGGCAGCGAAGCCATATTTTGCATACAACCATTCAGTTCCTCGGGCGGGCCGCAGGCGCCGCCATCTGCATCGCTCTCCTGTGCAGCCCAGGCGCTGCCAACAGGCCATGGCTCCATCAAAGAGCTTCCGTCAGTGGGTCTGTTGCTCTCGTCAGGGTTGCAAAGGTTGGTCCTATTCGGACCGCAACAACAAGTTCTGTTCCCAGTGTGGCGCCACTTTCCCCAAGCCTGGGCAAAACGAGTCAGGACAGCCACCTTCGTACCAGTCGGGAGGAGGCAAATCGACGGGAGATCGCCATGGGACCGAACAGGGACGAGGCAACCGTTGGTCTCGTTTCAAAGAGAAGGGACAGCATGAATTCATCGCCGCAGCCCCCCCAGAGTCAGCCGCAGGTGCAGACGACCCTGTCGCCGTGCATTCAGGTCTTGTCAATTTTTGGAAGATTCGCGAGGGCACGGGGGGAGAGAATTATGCCAAAGCCGTGGTTGCTCTCAAGCAAGTGAAGTCCTCAGCCCATCAAGGAAAGCCCTTGGAACAGCAATGTCAATCCCTTCGCGATCAGGCCTCCGCCGCCCAAGGCAAAATCAAGAAGTTCCCCGAGCAGATCCAAGGCTACGTCGACGAGATCTCCGCCATGGCAGACAAGGTCGTTGCCATGGGATCGGACAAGGTCGCCGCCACCGTCGAGCTGGAGCAGCTCGAGGGCCAGCTCGCGGTCGCCATCCGAGCGGTGGCGCAGCAGGCGCCAGCCCCAACCTCCACCTTCTTCCCGCAGGTCGCCAGATTCGTGGGAGAATTCCAGCATGGGCCAGTCGTGGGAGTTCCTCCGCAGATCCAGGAACAAATCCAGGCCCTGGAGAAGTCCCTCTCTGCAGCCTACCAGCAGCAGCATCAGCAGCCGCCGCAGCAGCCGCAACAGCAGCCCCAGGGAGAACACAGCTCGGACAGCCGCCAGTGAGAGCAAGCTCCCCATCTCAGGAGAAAACGTTCCTGTTCCAGTCGGAGACGCTCCCGCCGCCGCCGCTCCCCCAGCCACAGCAGCCACCGCGGGGACCCCGGCAGCAGCGGAGCCCGCAGCCTCAGCAGCCACCGCAGGGGCCCCATCAGTCAACGAGCCCCAGCATGCAGAGGGTATGGATCAAAGCCAGACCCACAAAAGGGGCCAGACAGAAAGCGCAGCAGCCTTGGAGAGAGCAAGCCGCGTCGTCATCAACGCGGGGGACCAAGGGGACCAGGCAGCCAAGAAGCTCAAGCAAGCAGCAGATGCAGCAGCAGCAATGGGCAAATATCGGTCTAATATTTAGCCAGACTGTGCAAATAGTCGCCTTGAATGGCAGCTGTTGGGAAGCTGTCAACAGTTTTGTCTCGTCGTCATTCGCTAAGAATGTCATGGCAATATGCTGTCAGGAGACTCGTGTGTCAGGGGGCGGCATAGTAGATGCCAAGCAGCGGTGCCAAACAGAGGGGTGGCACTCTGTTATTTCACCAAGTTTCACTAGCGAAGCCAATCGGCCAACGTCAGGCACTGCCATCCTTGTCAGGGCAGCCCTAGATGCGGGCGTTCGACCCGCAGCGCTCCCACCTTCCGCCTCTCCCAGCAGGATTGCAGCAGTTATTCTCGAACTCCCAGGACATTCCCCCTTCATCCTGCTCTCCCTCTACCTCGAGGACTCAGCAGGCCTCAGTCAGAGCAATCTCGAGCTGCTGGCAGCCATCGGCTGGATGCAGAGCCACCACAGCATGCCAGTATTTGCAGCAGGCGATATTAATATGCCACCGTCAGTCATCAAGAAGACGAGCCTGATCGAGCGAAGAGGATTTCAGTTGCTCCACTCGCCTGGGCCCACCTTATTCACCAAGAGAAGCAGATCTGAACTGGACTACTTCGTCGCCAGCAGAATCCCACCAGCCCTCTGGGCGCCGGTGGTTTAGAGCGTTTCCTCTTCCACCCTTCCTTCTTCCCCTTCGGGGAGGGGTTTACCCCTCCCCCTACCCCCTCCCCGCTGACCTGGGCAGGGGGGGCCGCGGGTAGTTAGAGCGTCCAAGATCGACCCCTGGGAGGGCTAAAATTCGACACCCCTCACGAGGATCGTGGCTCCTGAGGGGGGGCTGGAATTAGGGAAAGCCCCTTCGTTGATCGATCTCCTCCAAGATGGCTCCGAGGCCCCCCAAGAGGCCCCCAGGAGGCCCCCAAGAGACCCCCAAGAGGCCCCAAGAGACCCCCCAGAGGCACCCAAGAAGCGCCCAGAGGCCCCAAGAAGCGCCCAGGAGGCCCCCAAAGGCCCCAAGATGGCCCCAAGAGGCCCCAAGGGGCCCCCAGGAGGCCCCAAAGAAGATCCCGAACGGCCCACAGAGGCCCCCCCGAGGCACCCAAGACGCCGAAAAGCCCCTCAGGGCGACCCTCTACTCGCCTGGGCGTCGTTTCCTGACGGGCTGGTGGGGATGCGCGAAGCGTCTAGAATATTGGGAGAATCTGTCAGCAGCGTACAGGTCCTGGTTAACTACCCGCTCTCGCCCCACAGGCTCGTTGTCGCCCAGTTCGTAATGAGCAAAAATCACCTCATCCCCAGGCTGGCCAAGCCCCAGAAGATCCCCGCCAAGCGCCCCTTCGGACCCTCCAAGGAGCCCAAGGAGTGGAACAGAGCAGCCGCAGCAGCACAGCAGCTTCAGCAAATAATACAGGAGCCAGCAGAAGACCCAGGCTTTGAGCGCCGCGTTCGATATGTTCGCCCTGGACCTCGAAGAATCGCCCGCCCAGCAAACCGACGCGCCGCTCAGGAGTCGAGGGCAGATTTGCCAGCCAAGAAGGATCGTTTGGATTTCAGCCAGAGCAGAAGAATCCAAGCATCGAGCAGGATGGCAGTCATACGCCAGGCCACTCAGGTGGCTAAATACTCGGGTCATTGACGCGCTGCGAAGTTTACACATCGGCCTCTCGGTAGGTCTGCGAGACGTTCAGTCAGCTTTGCAGGACGCGCCACAGGAGTTTCAGTCAGCACAGGAGCTGGAGGCCCTGCTCGCCAAGTTCAGCCGCTTTCTCGACGCCCTCTTGCAGGACGTCAGGCGGGAGGGCATCGAGGCGTCCATCCAGCGCGCCTCCCACATCTTTTCAGAGTTCCAAGAGGAGATATCCAGCTTCCACGACCAGGAACGCTCTCGGGAAAGGCAACAAGCCACCGCCTCCTGGAAGCAGTGGGTCACCGAACAGATGGCCAACGGAGTTGGGTGGGCCCATAGATGGTCCAAAGGCAACACCACGTGGCAACCCCAAGAAGTGAAGGCCAAAGATGGCCGCTGGTCTGGACGGCCAAGTAAGCTCCTGGAGGGCGAGGCCGAAAGACTCTCAGACCTCTGGGACATCCAGGACACGCCCATCCCCAGAATCCCAGGAAATCCCGAGGCTGCGGCAAGGCTGCCGATCATCACGCCATCCTTTCTCCGGAAAGCCATTTGGACTTTCAGCCATCAGACATGCCAGACCTGGGACGGAGTGCACCCCGAGCATGTCGAGCTGCTGACAGACAAGCAGCTGCAGGTTTTTATCGACTTACTTGCGTGCATCGAGCAGCTTGGCACGATGCCCTCCCAGATTCTGGCCATCATTACTAATCTCATTCCGAAATTGAAGGCCGCTGGTGGGCCATCGTATAGAGGCATTGGCCTCCTCCCTGGAGTTTACCGTGTTTGGGCAAAGTTGCGACAAAGCGAAGCCAGAACATGGGAGAAACACAACCCCTGCAGTTTCCTGGCGCATCAAGCAGGCCGCAGCATTCTAGAGCTGGTGTTTCAACAATCTCTTCTTGCAGAGCAAGGATGCCTAGCAGAAGAACCGACGCACACAGCATCAGTACTATGGGATACGTCTAGCTACTATGAACATATCAGCAGGGAGGACCTTCAGCAACGAGCAGCAAGTGGCAAGTTTAACGAAGCGGTGCTGGCAGTTATCATAAATCAGTATCAGTCCAGCAGGTTCGTCACGTTTAACCAACTAATCCAGTACTGTGGGTTGCCAGGGAAAGGCATCCCAGCAGGGTGCGATTTCGCAACTTACTTAGGTCAGATATATTGCAAGCAGCCCCTCCAGTCTTCGGTTGCGGCGCACCCTGGCATCCAGCTCAGCCTGTTCATTGGTGACATTTTGTTGCAGATTGTCCACGCGTGCAAGAAGAAGCTTGCGAGCAAGCTGCTAGACGCCTGCTTCCAGCTCCTAGGCGCGATCAAGAACGAGTTACACTGCTAAATGGCAGACAAGAAGTCGGTCGTCCTCGCCTCTTCCAGAGACATCCAGGAAGACCTCGAGTCGGAGCTGGGCAAGTACGCGGGCCCCCTCAAGAAGGTCTCGGTGGCCCCCAACCTCGGCATCGACTTCAGATCAGGAGGAGCTAGGCTTAGAACGGAACGGAACGGTCGCTGAAAACGAGCTGCGCGCGCGCGGCTACGTGCCCTCACGGGCTCAGCGTAATCGGTCAGCCCATCGCGTCAGAGGGCGCCCGCGGGCTCTCCGCCCGCCAGGCGTCCAGTCGTGGACTCGCCGGGCCCACCGGTCGTAGCTCATGCCATTGAGTCTTTCGCTCCAGCCCTGCAGCCGGCATCGGCGCTCCTCCGCCCAGCAGGGTACGCGGTGTTCGTCCATCCAGTGGCGCGCCTCCGTCGCCACACGCTGCACCCAATCTACCCATGTCTCCACGCCCCCGCCCTGCTTGTACACTCGCCCCCGCCCCAACATTGCCCGGGCCATTTTGAGCTGTGTCCCTTTCAGTTTTGAATCTCGTTCCGCTGTCATTACCCAGCTGCCGCAACCGTGCAGCGCTGTCGGGGCGACCACGATATGGAAACGCTTCATCCGAAGACCAATCGGCACTGCTTTGTCAGTCAGCTCTTGCCCGAAGGTGCCGAACTTAGCCCACGCCCTCTTCAGTCGGCGCGTCAGCTCAGCGTCGTGGACTGCCAGAAGCGTACGCGCCCTGCCTAAATACATACTGGTTTCCGTGGGCTGCATGACTTCGATATTCATCCCCTCTACCACCGCCAATCTGACTTTGCTGCCATAACCAATGCTGTTGTGCT